CAGGGCAGCACAAAACGGTATCCAATGAGTAAAGTCAACTCATGAGTATTTCCAGCAGTTGCTATTCGTATTCCAGTGGTTTCAACTTTTCCAGGCCTCGGAGCCACCTGTAACTCCTCAGGAGCAACGTGGGAACCACTGAGTTGCAAGAACTTGACAGGAAGTCATATGATATCTTAGTCATGTGACAGGAAGAGAGGAAGTCAGAGTTATGACCTCAACAGTTTTAAAGGCAGGACCACAGGCAGAAGATCAAGAGAGCCTGTGACAGGAAACACAAGCTGAGCAACAGGCCAAAGGTAACAGAAATGGCGGAACCCTCTCCCAAGCTGAATGACCTTGCTGTCCCTGATGTTCCTCTCAACGTGGAGCAAGACAGGGCCATGATTCACATACGGAAGGCCACTATTCTATGAATAGTTAGGGTTGTACAATTAAAGGAATCCTGAGGTTTAAAGGTAAAGGTTTCCCTTGCTCGAAAGCCAGTCGAATCCAACTCTAGGGGGCGGTGCTCATCTCCGTTTCAAAGCCGAAGAGCCAGCGCTGTCCAAAGACGTTTCCGTGGTCATGTGGCCGGCATGACTAGACACTGAGGCGCACGGAACGCTGTTACCTTCCCACCAAAGCGGCACCTATTTATCTACTTGCAATTTCTTGCTTTCAGACCATTAGGTCGGCAGGAGCTGGCACTAGAGAACGGAGCTCACTCCGTCACGCGGCACTCGGGTCTCGAACTGCTGAACTACCGACGTTCCAGTCTGCAGCTCAGCATCTTAACCACTTGAGCCACCACGGCCCTAAAGGAATCCTAGTTGACCTTTCATTGATCAACTGACTGATTCTACTTTGCTCCTTGCAAGTGGATAAAATAACAGCCGTGAAAAAAAAACTGTTTACAGATCATGGAAATGTGCATTGTAGCAGACATATTCTTAGGAGAGGCCTCCTCTCCTGTGTAAGAGAGAAGGCAGAATGCCTCCTGAGGATACCACTCTGTATTCTCTAAGTACACACATGAACACACACACAAAGTTGCCGTATACTGAATTAGACCACTGGTCCACCAAAGTCAGTATTGTCTACTCAGACTGGCAGCTGCTGTCCAGCATCTCAGGCAGAGGTCTTTCGTATCTCCTACTACCTGATCCTTTTTAACTGGAGATGCTGGGGACTGAACCTGGGACCTTTAGCATGCCATGTAGATGCTCTACCACTGAGCCACAGAACACCTTACAAATTGATCAGAAATTTTCTAATGGCTCAGATCACCTGAAAAACAGACTAACAATTGTAGCCATGATTCCATTTACTGTTGAAAGACAAAGGATTATTTCCCGTGGATTTCTTCCTCAGGGACGGTACTTTCTACTAGAGCAAAGAGTCTTCCCCTGAGGTATGATTGGCCCAGGGATCCTGGAGGTTTTTTGCCTTCCTCTAGACATAGACCAGGGATCACTGGGGGAGTGGGGGGGCTAGCTGGGAATTCCCTGTGTTGTGTAGGCGGTTGGACTAGATGACCCCTGGGGTCCCTTTCCACCTCTATGTTTCTATGTTCTATGAAGCTCTGAAGAGCCTTTTCTGTCAAGGTAAGTCTCATTGTGTGGGAGAAACGAGCCACTGCTAGCAGAACAGATCCACGCGATTCAGTCCAGAGTCTGGTGGTGCTACCACAGTATCTTGGATAGCTAAAGGAATACCCCAGCAACTTCATCTACCTGAGCCTGCCCATTTTGGGAAAAGTCTATTTTTCATATTCTTTGTAAACCAAATGGGAATGACCAAATTTATTCCTACGTATCAAATCAGCACTTCAATCCCCCCCAAAAAAATGTTCTGCCTCTTCCCCAATGTCTTCAAAATTCACAGAAATGTCATGCTGCTGTTTGGGTATCACCAAATAATAACAAAAAAAGGGTAGAATGCAGCAGGTCTACCAGGTGTTCTTTGATACCCCTACTGTTGGCATGTAAAGTACTGGTGATTCAAGAGTTTGCGGATTCGCTCCAGTCCTCTGGTTTATATTAACTGCATGCAAATTAAATTTAGAGCTATAGCAAAGTTGCATATTTTACGGGACTTCCACGACCCCCATAGAGGCCTCAACTTGAAATAAAGACCACTCCCCATCAATGTTTCCTCTAAGCTGTGGAGTCTTGTGAGCAAAAATTCTACTTTGTGAGCTACTGGCATTAAAGTTGTGAGTGAGCGATTTGGCTGCTGCATAAATTAGTTTGCTCTTGAGCTAAGACAAAAACGTGTGAGCCGGAGGCTAAAAAACTGTGAGCTAGCTCACACTAACTCAGCTTAGAGGGAACACTGATGATGGCATATAACATCAGCTTTGAGGTCTACTCAGGTCTCCGCTTCGGGCTGTACAGGTTCATACAGGCCTGATTCATAGATACAAGAAAGTTGCAGGAGAAAAATCTTTGGAGCAGAGTTATGTAAAGGCAATCCATGTGCCAAGCTACTTCTGTAGGCTACAAACCTCATCTTAAGGCATATGCACATATGTTATGTCATCAAGTAATTTCCAGCTTATGTCAACCCTATGAATTAATGACCTCCAATACATCCAATCACTAACACCTTTGCTCAGGTTTTGCAAACTGAAGGCCATGGCTTCCTTGACTGGGTCAATCCATCTCATGTTGGCTCTTCCTCTTTTCCTTCTGCCTTTGACTTTTCCCAGCATTACTGTCTGTTCCAGTGAGTCTTGTGTCTTCCCACAATGTGGCCAAAGAAGGTTCTGCTAATTTCAAATGCAACCCCCTTTTGTTCTACAAGATAGACTGCCTGTTGTAGGGAAGCCCCATGGCACAAACACTTGTTGTTTCGAACCACTTTCACACCATTACATTTCAGCGCCTTTTGTCTCCACCACATAAAGATTCTTGCCGGTCCAGTAATTATCCAAACCAGCCCTGTGAATCTCTGCCAAACACAAGCACATCCCTCTGTGTACCAAAAGGAGCCGTCTGGAGAGCAGTTATTCAGTCTTAAAGAGACAGCTGCGCATCTCAGAGCTGCCTGCGCATACACACAAACCTCATCTCCTTGCTGCGGTCGCATCAAAGACACCCGGTCGTACTGCCGTCTCAGCAAAGCCCACAGTGCGTCAAGTCGACCCTGCAAAGAGGAGACCAAGAGGGTTTCTGATTAGCCGGCACACGGTACAGCAGTTCTCAGAAAAAAGCGTTTACCGTCCATGGACATGTCCCGGGGAGCATCTCCGGCCAAACAGCAGTGCGGTGGGATGAGCGCTCTTTAAACGGGGGGCTATTAGGCATCAATTCTGCTTAATGGGGACACATTGAGCCAGCGATGTGTGATCAAGTAAGTGGCTCTTAACAATGAGTTAAATGAGTGTGAAACTCTAAGTTCTGGCATTTTACAACTTTTGGGGAGGTTTTGCTTTTTCCCCCCTTCCACACTACCTGAAGATTAAAAAAGGGGAGCGGTGGCACAGAGGATTTATCCTCTGGTTAACATCTGAACTAAACAGAGCTGCTGTCAGTTCTAGCCCGCGCTGGTGTGAGCTACCACCCTTGTCCCCAGCTCGCCGTCCACCCAGCAGTTCGAAAACTTCGGCGAGTAGATAAAATGGGTACCACTCCTTAGAGAGGGTGGGTACACTAAAC